CTCGCCCCTCGGCTCCGTGCCCGGTGGGGTCCCGGTCTCGCCCCTCGGCTCCGTGCCCGGTGGGGTCCCGGTCCCGGCGATTCCGCGGTGGAGCGGGACCGGCGCGGGGGTCGCGGCCCCGGTGGCACCGAGCAGTGGAACGGGGGGTGCGGATGAGCCCCGTCCCCGCCCCGGTGAGCTCTGGCCAGCAGCGCACCCGCTGTCCTACAGCAAAACCTGCGAGCTCTCCCCGCTCCCGCTCGGGCTGATGGCAGGAGGCATTTGAGTTCCCGAAACACTGAACAACTGGCARGAAAAACTTGTTTTCGTCGGTGTGATCAGCAATTCTCAGCTAATGGAGAGATAAATAATCCCATCACTTCCCAGCTACCCGTCCCCGATGAATTCTGCACCCATGTTTCACGGGCAGCACTGCCCTTTTAGAATCTGTTCATTTAAATATTTTTGCATAGCATTGCTAGWAAAAATCAAGGAATATTTACAAGTGAAATACACACAATTTGTGCATATAATCCATTTTTTTCTGTTATTTTGCATCTCTTGATGCTTTATTTCAGAATTTTCTTCGATTGCACTGAACCTGAGCCTCATTTTGTTTTTTCTCACTGGAAACACTCACCTTGAAAATACTGGGGAGACAGAGAAAGTAAAATCTATCAGGACTTTACTTAGAGCTCTGTGCAGGGTCTGTTTGTTTTTCCTGTAACATACCTTGTAGTGACAAACAGGACCCAGAGACACATCACTTCTGGAAATCATGAATAAATGCTGTGGGTAGTTCTCTGTGGGATCAGAATTCGGCCCAAAATGTGCAATATTAAAAAACTACCATTTACTCTTCATTCCYATTACCTAGACATGTAAGTTCAAATTCAAGAATGTGTTTTCACATCCACAACACTCTGGGGTAATATTAAATGAACTCTGTTTAATAAAACACATTCCAAGTTGCTATTTTGATTGAAGCACTATACTTCTTGTCTTGCAGTAAGTAGTTCAGATTTCACTGGGTCATTGAAATTTTTTGAATCAGTCTCTTTTCAAATCATATTTAAAATACAGACATAAATAACTGTAGCASAGATTCTTTCACAGCACAAACCGGGGGAAGTGACACAGTGCTGCATGCATTTACCAGTCCTGCAGTTACCTCCCAAGACAGGAAAGGAATTTTGTCATTCTCCAAACACATTGATCGTACCTTTCATAAAACATCTCACATTCATCCAGGGAGACAATGACATCCCACTTTGTCGTTGAATCATTGAAATAAGAGGTAGTTTGATCACAAATGTTTGCTATTATCAAAACACCATCATGATTTCAGCAGGATTAGAAAATCCAGGTGAAGGTGTGCACAGTTCTGCTCCAGCACAGGTCCCCTCTGTTTCTTTTTCCTGCATTAAGTTTTATGTGTTTTTAAGCACTCTGTCATTGAGAACAGTGGCACCAGACGAAATCCCTTGTTCTGTCCAGGGCACCCGTGGCCTTCACAGCTGATGGCTGGAAGGAACATTGCCCAAGTCTTCTGTTTCAGTGTTTTCTCCCTAGAAAAACCCAGAATTGCAATATTGCTTTAGCTGGAAAAACCTCTGAGATCAAATCTGATACGTATGTGAAAATCACAACAGACTAGTAGAAGATGTTGGAAAAAATATTCACATAAATACTGAAATATTTACRGATGCAGACAGCCCTGTTTGAACCAGGAAAACAAATGCAATAAATGCACCTCCCATACAGAGTTCCAGACCTGGTACTTCCCATCAGGATAACCTATGGGTTAAATGATTATTGTCTCTGCTACTCCAGCCAGTCCAGGCAGGACTGGGACAGCAGAGCCTGGGCAGCCCCTGAGCAGGGAGCCAAGGGCCAGAGTGGCTCTGTGGGGATGTCAGGAGGGCACAAAGCTCCTGCACGGGTGGGCACCATCCTTTCCTTTGGGAAGCTCCGATTGCAGAAGGTTCCCACTGCACAGAGCTCATGCAGGAGCCCCTGGGCTGGGAACAGTGKCTCTG